TCATTGAGTCCAGTACAATGAGCATAGAAGAACAGCAACCTTGAACCGGACTGTCCGCCTCCTGTCAAACACCGCCTCTATAGGTCAAACAGGGTCCGCCGAATAGAGACTTGCCTTATGTGTGATGCCCTCAGTGACAAGCTTGCGCAAACGCAACCGTTTGAGGCTCAAGAGTACGCCCCCACTGCAGTCGAAATTTTGTTCAGCCTCGATTTGAGAACGGAAAGACAAGGTTGGAAGATTTGGGAGCAGGGGAGGGCGGACACTGGGTAGTGTGAAAAGCTGTGAAACAGTGGCAAGTTTGACAGATTCTATCTCTCACAGACTGGTGGCTAATTGGGCAAAGCCGGGCACTGACTGGGGGTGCTGTGCAGCATGTTCTTTGGGTTAATGTCAGCATGGTCCGAAGGTGACAACAGATGGAAGTAACGACGAAAATTGAAGCACGCCAATACTTTGCTTTGAGTGCACTGGTGTTTGACACCAGATTACTATCAGTATGCAATCACTCATTCAGTACGACCGCTACTTTGAAATGCATTTATCACTGCAATGGCGCGCACCCTTTTGTTGTTGTATCTTTTTACAGCTACTTTCACAATGACTGAACTTTTGAAGATGTAACCGAACTTTCTCAGCCCTCTAAAACCACCTCCTTCCCTCTCACGCTAACCACATTACCCGCAAATGACCCATCCACTCCCACACAACACTATTCATACAAATCAGCAATAACCCCTGGATCAACCTTCCTCAACCCCTCCCTAAACGCCTCCTGCGCAACCAACTGCTCCCATTGACTCCTCACCCAAACCGTCACCCTCTCCGCCAAAACTCCACACGTCCCCCTATACCCATTCGCAAACCCCATAATACTCAAACAACTCTCCCCATTCAAGTCGCACGAAATGATCTCGTTCGCGACGTAACTGTGCAAGTCGTCCATCTGGAAGTAGTCCGCCGCGCGGATGAGGTCGAAACGTGCGGGGAGGTTGGGTGGTTTGTGGTGGGAGAGGTGGTTGGTGTAAATGAATTCGAGGAGGGAGGTGATGGTTTGGGTTGGGAAGTTGTTGATTTCGGCGGTGAGGGCGGTGGGGTGTGGGGGTTGGGTGGATTCTTTGCACCTGGTGAACATGGCGTTGAAGTAGGGGCTTCGACAGGCGAGGACGACTTTGTGGGCTGGGAGGTTGGTTATGTCGTCGGTTGTGCTGTCTTTGATTTGGAGCGTGATGTCGGATAGGTGTTCTTGGAGGAATAGGTTGCTGAATGGTGTTTTGCCGGCGATGGAGGGACGGATGTGGGTGGCTGGAAGTTTCATTGTAATGATGGCAATGGCTTGAATTGATCCATCTGCTGCAACAAATTGTTTGAACTTGGACGCCGCCCCGAAGTTTTTGAAACCATATTTCGTATTCGGATATGACAAGGTTATTTTGTCGGCGTGGTGAGACAGGAGCATGGTTGTTGGTGTCGAAGTCGGAGGCTTCACAGTGATAGTACAGCTAAGTTCGCGCTGCCAATCACTCCCCATTTCAATTTCCCGGACGCTTTTGACGGCAACACACCACGCCTCGACATGAGCGTTTGGCGTTATCACAAACTCCAAGCGAAAGAGCGACTCGTCGGGACCAAATGGATCGGACGAAAGGACGATTGTTTCCTGTGTCTGAGCTGCGCGTGATAGCGCATGGTTCACACCCCACATCTTGCAGTTGAAGGTCCACACGACGTCGTTCTCATTTGTGTGTGGTACTGCCTGTGACATGATTCGACTTCGTGCTGTGCCAATGCAAAGGTATTCAGTTCAAGGAACGAGAATCTCGATAAGTTGACTGGACGCTCACCACCGCGTCTACGTAGTACGAACTTCCAAGAGAACAAACAAAAGCGTGAGCAGCTGCGACAATTTGACGACATCCCATATGGAATAGCTCTGAGTTGTACCTTTCTGCATGCTCGGAACATTGCTTCAAGTGCTGAAGGTAGAGAGCGTTGTGTGTTATGGTTGATTATGCTCACGCAGTCTTCTTCAGGCAGCTGAGAAAGAAGTATCGGATGGTTTGTTGGAATCAAAGGGGAAATGACACTCTCATTTTACGTTGATGGTCCAGATATGCTCATCATCAGCATCATCATCATCATTGAAGGGGGCGTGGGAATCCCCGTCTTTATACAGAGGGCACTCCACTATCACACAAAGTCACAAACTCACACATCAGACATCATGAGTATCATGGACCAGTTGGACCCCGCCTCGAACGTTCCAACTTTCATTACGCCGCATGACTGCCATCATGTACAGTATGTACAGCAGGGGGATATGGGTATCACACGGTATACTAGTCAGTGTGCTGGTCTTCTTGACATGACTGAGCCACTCGGTAATATCATGTCATCGGGAACCTATGGCCGATAACGCGTTCTGGGCAAGGCAGGCAGAGTAGGCAGGGTTGCTGCTGCCTGCTGCGGACTTTGGGAACATGGACTGAAGTGACTGACATGGACCCTCATGGACCCTCGTTCTGACTGGAGGGGCTTGGCGCGTGGCGTTGTGCCCAAATCAAGCCACATCTGATGTTCGTCAACACGAGGAGAATGGGGTGAGAGGATTGAGTAGTCGGCAGTCATATCTGAACTGGCCCTTTTGCTACTCTTGCCATCCTCAAGGCGTCGAGAGAGGATTGGTGTGCCCCACCCTTCGCAGGTTGCTTTCGCCACCACTACCATCCTCAGTCATGGGTCGAGAGGATTGAGCAGTCGGCGGCTTCTTTGAAGCTGTGCACTTTTGCTGCTCCTACCATCCTCAGGGGATTGGATAAGCCGGGCACGTCAAATTTGAACGAATCCCCTTTGCTACCCACTACCATCCTTACTTTGCGGCGTGGGTCGAGAGGATTGAGTAGTCGGTAGTCACACTTGAATTGTCCTTTTGCTACTCTTACCATCCTTAGGGGATTGGATAGCCGGGCACGTCAAATTTGAACGATGCTCCATTTGCTATCCACTACCATCCCGACATTGTTGTACGGCGGAGAGGATTGAGCAGTCGGCAGCCACACTTGAATTGTCCTTTTGCTGCTCTTACCATCCTCAGAGGATTGGATATGCCGACATCAGGTTTTCGCTTCAGCCTGGTGATCCCTTGCTATCCACTACCATCCTCCACCACCCTATTCAAGACCGCGCGGGGGTCCTGGCCTCGTGCCACAGCCCTTGGCTCAGCACCCGCGGCCCTTTTTGGGTCAAACAGACGCGCTGATGCGGCGTGGTGGTTCCAGGCAGATGGACCACGAGTCAAAATGTCGGTCTAAACGAAGCACTTTCTTTCCCGGTTGAAGATCCAGCGATTCATACTTGGTCTTGCACCACTGCTCAACGGCTCTTGTTAGTTACCTGAGAACTAGCTGGCTCCGGTCCCTTGGGGGATCGCATTCGTGTAGGAGATGCATGGATGCGAGGAGGGTTCGAATCCCTTCCGGGGTCATATATATGCGGAAGCGTATCTTTGATGTATATTATAACAAGTCGATGGCACGTTCCTTTGAGAGCCGGCCCACATCAGCCCGTCATGTTGCCAGGGAACTCTGGAGGCTCCGCCGGTTCTTTGTAATTGCAAGCAGGTCCATCGGTATCATTGAAGGGGTTTGGGAATTTGATGAACGACTCCTAAAATAGAAGATCGCTTTCACTCCACTTCACACAAGTCACACATCAAGTCACACACACATCAGACCTCATGAGGGAACACACCTAGTTGAAGGTTCCGATATAATTATGCTGCATGACACTCCTGACTGCCATATAGTGCAGACGAGGTGGGTATAGGAGACGCAATGCGCTGGTCTTCTTTACTGAGCCATTTAGCGGTGTCATGTTACCAGGGTCACGACCGAATGCATTCCAGGGCCCAGGGGTCCAAGGATGCATTGTGGGCTGTTGTGGGATTCGGTGGACCCTGAGTGGCTTGGCGTCAAGCCCGGTTTGAGCCACATTTCACGCCATCCTGGACCCACAAGAAGAGCATGACCGACCAACCCTTCCCATTTTCTTCCCCAACTTCCTTGCACTGAAATGTAAATGCTCATCCGCAAGAACGCGCAGGTACGCAAGTTCGCAGCGACTTTGTTTCTGTGGTCAAATATACTAACAAATTCCATCCATCCATCCAGTATCACCGCTTCCTCAAGACACAAAGTCCCATGACGCCGCCAAAATGGGCAGACCACCCAGGGCATGATGCCCCACAAGCATGTCGAACACGAGTGGTGGGTATCTGGAATTGCGTTCCTTCTTCTCCATCCTCACTTTTGCCGAACCTGCCATCCATCCGCAGCGTCACCCCTTCTCACGACACAAAGTCCCATTGCGCCGGCAAAATGGGCAGACAATCAAGGGCTGGACGCCCCACAAGCATGCTGAACATGCGTGGTGGGTATCCGAATTGCTTTTCTTCCCTTTTCATCCTGACTTTCGTCCTGCCATCCATCCATCAAGGGTTGTCTACGGATACCATCGGCGTCTACAAGTCAGGGCAAAGTCCCTAGCGGCACTTTCGCGCCATACAAGGTATGCACTTTTGTTGCAAGGTGCCCGCCATTTAGGATCAATAACCATTTGCTCCTATCACCATTAGGGTTCCTAACGTCGAGACCCGCTTCTACCATGGGGTTGAGTCCCCCACTGGCCCGGAAACCATGCAAGGTACGCGCACTTCTTCTGGAACACATTTCGACTCGCACTAACTCCAAGCTCAGGCCAACACCGCCAACGAGGTCTTGCTGGTTTCTCCCCACAGGTGTAACCTTTGCCTCCCCCTTCAGCAGGTACCCCACAGAGTCCCTCGAGGCATTTAGGAACGCACACAAGAGCGCTCAAGGCCCCAACTTGGGGGGACGTTGTCCCAAGTTCAAGTCCAAGAACTCACTTGTGTTGCATCCGAGGGTTCCGACCTGTGGCAGCGGTTGCTGTCACGGGAAGGGTTTCAAGTGGTGTTTCTTTTACCGTTCGTAGCTCAAGGTAGAGCAACCACCTTTCGGGGTGGTAGATGCTGGTTCAAACCCAGTCGGGGGGTATTCTTCGTCGTTAACAAGTTCACTACAAATACGTTCGCTGGTATCAAATGCCGTGAATGTTTTCATTGTACATAATATTCGTAGTCCTGCTACCTTGTGCTGTGTTGTGTCAAATACACATGCGTTGCTCAAATCAGCCAATTTGCAAGGAAATGTGTGTTGTTCAGACATGTTTTCGAGAAGGATGCGGAGCAATAATGGGTTGGACGGGTCAGCTGCAATAGCATTTCAAACGCACGCAGGCGAGGAGAGGTCGAATCCCTTGTGTTCACATTCTCACAGCTGGTTGCACTCCACCAAGCGTCGTGCAAGATCGCCGAATGATATCAGCAGCTTGCATCGGCATTCATGTGCCAAGCCTTCTTTCCGACACTGACGCACACCGCTTCAAGCGACTCGCATTCTTCCAATCTTGGCCGTGACCATCAATGTGTATCACAAAATATGTACATTACACAGCATGCAAACGTCACCCCCTCACCATCCCTCCAAACACCACCACAACCTCTACACCTTCAACTCCCTATCCTTCCCCTCCAACTCCCTCACCTCCCTAACATAAGGCGGCGCCCCCCTCTCCCTCAACCCTTTCCTCGCCCCCCTAAAAAACACCACCTGAACCGTCATATCATCCCTATAATTCCTCGAATACCCCGGAATGCTCAACATCCTCGACACACCCTCCTGCCCCTCCCCCTGCGAAAGCGCCACGCGGATCAGGTGCGTTGCGGCGTTGACGTCTACTACTGCGTCCTTGTTGTTGTGGTTATTGTCCAGGAAGTTGCCGACGGCGCGGACGACTTCGTCGTTGGACAGTTCGTCGAAGATGCCGTCGGTGGCCATGACGAGGAAGTGGTCTTCGGATGTGATGGTGTGGTGGCGGATTTCGGGGGTTGCCATCATGTCTGGTGGTTTGTGAGTGTCAGTATTTGTGTATGGGAGATATCCAATGATAGGGCTAGTTTGAAATACTTACATGGCGGGGTATAGCAGTAAGGTGGGGTTGGCCACATGTACTTCCCTCTCGGTAGGCTTTGAATCAATGCGTCAATCTTCTTCTGAACATCCAGCGGCCACTTGAATTTTGCGTCTCCAAATGCTACGATTTGCTTGTATATGAATAAGCTTGCTCAGAACCAACTGTCAAATCTGTATGCAACTCACATCTAGACGGCATCATCCCTCCAATAACTCTCAGTGGTCCACTGCCCCGCGGTCGAAACGCAACGGTCTTCTCCTCCCCCGGGTGCTCCCTCTTCAGCCGTTCCATTTCCTTCGGATTCGAAGGCTGATGATCCTCCGTCAGAGCTTTCGCCGTCCACGTACCACCCTTGTTTCTGCTTCCCACGACCGCACGGCTATCACCAGTATTCGCAACATACAATTCCGACCCATTCAGATGCGCGACGACAGCACATGAGCCCGTAAGGGCGGGCATGATCATATCACGGGCGAGGAGGCGTACTTCTAGTGGTAGGGTGGAGATTTCGGATGGTGAGAGGTAGTCGAAGTCTTCGATGGCGCGACGGGGTAGGTCGAGTAGGTCAGCGTCTAGCTTGTCGAAGGCTTTGGTCAAGGCGTTGGGTATATCTTTTTCATGTTCAAGCTGGTTTTCGATGTAATTTGGCAGCAAGTGTTGAACTACCAGACCGCATGTGGGGTCCCAGTGTCCTATTCATGAACCGTAAGTACGATTTGTTGAAACATCCGCATAGGAGCACGTTCCCCACCCACCATCCAGAACACCAAACAAAACCCTCTTCTTCAACAAATGCTCAAAATGCTGGTCCTCAATCGGATTATTACTCGCAAGCGCATTAACGTCTATCCTCTCCACGCCCGGAGCAAGCAAATACGACTCGTGGCTTCTCAAGATACGGTTGATTTCTTCGGCTGGCAAGTCTGCGCGTGTGCCAGGCGGGAATCGCGACTGCCCTTTAGCATTATCGGGTGGTGGGGGTTCCTTGTGAGTTTTGGAAGGGTGGTGATGACGACGTGAATTCCACCATAGCGCACCCACCAGACCTGCGCCTCCGAGGAGGTAAGGGTTGAAGCGTAAGCGGGCTTGGGGCGTTGGGGTTGTTGAGAGGAGACGAGGGTGGAGGAGGAGGACGCGGCGGAATGTTGGGTTTGTGCGGTGTAACTTTGCGCAGATGAGAAGGTTGGTTTGCGTGACACCCATCGTGGGAAGGGCTGCCGATGGTCGTGGATGGCAAGACGCAAGCACAACGAGAAACCAACCTGTCAAAATCGGTTGAGGACCAAAAGCCTCTGAGCCTCAACCCGCAAACATGTGACCATTTCGCCTTGCCACGATTAAGTCCGCCCATTCGGACTCATCTGTCCTACATTCCATTTGTGCTCAAAGTCTCAGGTTGCAACTTTCGCTCATACAGCCCGACATTTTTTACAATTACACCAAAACCCGTACATTCTATGCAAATAGTCTCGCCTGCCAAGAACACTATCTCCTAATGCTACTTCATCTTCTTCTACATATGCTATTGTTAGTTCCTCGTCTTTCGGGATGTCACGGCTGGCCTTGAAATGTATTTTACAACCCGTCCACTGCACTGATAAGTTCGGAACGCAGGAGTGGTTGAGCATGGATGCTAATGAATATACCGCTGTGCCAATACTTGGTAGAGTGGCGTCTTCTCTGACTTTGAATGAGTTCAGGTTGAGGGTCATCATTTTCGAGGCGTACCATGGAAGTGATGCAAAATCTGAAAGAGGGGTTGATCAGTCAAAGGGAACATAATTTGGAACTACAAGTGGCAGATCTGTACTTGACCGCATCTCCAGCACATTATCAATTTCCAAACATGTGCGTAATTTCATCCAACTCTCCTCCCAGTGGAGAGGAACGTTGCCCTCAGTCCATTCATTGTTTGCGCCGACCAAGTTCTCCATCGCTTCCAATGTTGCTGAGCGGCCTGAAAGTCTCAGCTCGGATAGTGTTCGCAGGGCTAGTTGTGTCAACAATATAGGAAATATGCCATGGGACGTTGCATTTTGCAGGTTGAACGTCCGTAGTTCTGGGTATTGGGGAAGTGTTGAGGCTACCTACTTGATGCCGAGCGCCATGACGCCATGACCAGTCAGATGTGAGCGTCCGTCCTAAGGCAATTTTGTATAGGACTCCCTACCCTTAAATATTTTGCTTCCGCATCCTGCAAACACGCAGCACTGCAAAAATGCTCTCCGTGTTTGTGGCAATGCGATGTATGTGCCGCAGGGGTGCGGCCAGACCAACACCAGTGACAGCGTTGCTCCTCCGTCTTCTTCTGCGCTCGCAGCAACGGCAGCTCCGCAAAGAGGGAAGATCCTTTGGGAAAGGCTCTTTGCGCCATTATAGCGCGGCCCTTTCCAGGAAGCGACTTGACTGCAAAAGGGAGAGCTGGTCCACTCGATAAGCACCGTCTTCGTAGAGAATTGAGCAGTTTCATTTTCATTATCAGCTTTTTTGACGTCTTTGATGGGTTAGGTTGTGGCCCCGATGAAAAATTTGGAAAGAGCTTTTTGAGGAAGCGAGATGTCTTCTGCCTCTATGCAACCTGCTGGTTGAGATCTGTCGGGATTGGAACGCCAGGAAAGGGCATCTGTTGAAAAGGAGTCCAGGTGAGGCCCTCAAGCTTCAAGGCGCAAGGGGAGTCTTCGAATTGATCCGGCTAATAATTGAATGCAACCAACCAAGCACTCTGACTGCAATTAGCAATGATGACATGTCCGAGCCAAGTTTTGGGGTTCCTTCATGACATGGCGTGTGCACGCCGGCTTCCCTGAAAAATGTCCCTTCCACCACGCTCCCTTCAAGTTTGCCCTGATTTTGTGTAAACCGCGGCGTGTTTACTACCCAACATTTACCTTCCTACGGCACAATTCGTTATTTATAGATCCGCAAGCTTCTGGATACCCAATACAAAACTAGTGCTTTGCACCACGGGTCGTTTCTTGCTCTATCAACCACCACGCAAAAATCCGCATACTTCCCTTAGTGTGACCGTCGTCCGCAGCTTTTCACTACTGAACTATCACAGACCCTACCACACCGGCACAACCTCAAAAATGACTGCCGACCGAGCGCACCAACTCGTGGTGCTGTACGCCTCTCAAACAGGCAACGCCGAATGGATAGCGAAACACATACACGAAGAAGCTCTTGCAAGAGGGTTCCAGTCGCAATGCTACGTTTTGGATGACTTTACCAAGGTTTGTTGACACACGTTCGACAAGGTGTGCTCCAGGGCCCATTATTGAACTATACCATGCATGCAGGTCGATCTGACAAAGAACATTGCGATGATCATTGTGGCGTCTACCACAGGCGATGGAGACCCACCAGACAATGCTACAAAGTTCTGGCGCTGGTTGAGGCGAGCGAAGAAGCCCGAGTTGGATGCTATCCAGGGGAAGAAGTATGCGTTGCTTGGTGCGTGCATGTTTCTCAATTATCTCTTGAGCGACATTCACTAAACATCAATATCATTTACAGGGCTGGGAGATACCAATTACAGCAACTTCTGCAACACAGCCAAGCGGTTGGACCGGAAGTTCACGGATTTAGGAGCAGTCTCATTCGTAGCCAAGGGATTCGCAGACGACGCAACAGGGTGAGTCCCAAGCTTGTGTCAAGCTCCTGCATGACTTGTTCTCATCACCGACGCTAGCTTGGAAGAAGTTGTGGATCCATGGATACAAAAGCTATGGGATTCACTACCATCAAACGTCGAATATGACGAGGCCAAAGCGCAGCATTACGTATCCTCCGGTGGGAAGAAGAAAAGCTTGTTTAACAACAAGTCTGGGAAATCGGAAGACGAGGAGAAGGAGGATGGTAACGGAGATGTCCAGGCTGTTGCACAGAAAGTAGAAAAGTTAGAAGTGAAGCCGTCTGCATCGGAAACAGCCGCGCTACCATCACAAACCACACAATCGGAGGACCATTCGTCGCTTGCGAACGGACTATCGACGGACGAAAGATGTCATCAGGGTGAAG